AGCTGAGTCTGAGACAGAGCACAGGGTACAGGTGTGCACTGGGATTGCACCTGGGAAGGGAGAGGGAGGGTGGGGACTGGGCAGACTAAGGAGTCACACTGCCTTTGGACCTGACAGAGCCTCAGCCACCTACAAGGCCCAGGGGCAAACACTGCCCCTGGTGGCTGGTGTCGGGACAAACCAGCTTGGCAGTCCCCTCCCTGTCCCGGGCAGCAGAGTGGGGCGTGACCTCAGATGGGGCAAGTGTCTGCAGCTCAAGGCACAGCTCTGTCGCTACGGTCCCTCCTTGAGGGGAACTGAGCCCCTGTCTCTACTGTCTGCACGTTCACGAGAGCTTTTACACCTGTGTCAGATGAGGTCGCATTTTGAGGATGAAGTGTTAGAGGTTAATTAAGAAGGAAGGCGATGGTTTGGAGAGTCCCCAAGGGAGACGAGAGGGATGCTGGCCAAAGGAGAGTGAAGGGCAAGCCTCCCCCAGGTCCTGATTGAGAGCAGACCCCAAATCTGCAGCAGCAGCACACTCAGCAAGGACGCGGCATCAAGTCAATGTCAGGACGTCTCTTAGACCTCCTAGCCCCCGCTGCTACACGAGCTGTGATTGGCAAGACTGGACCTGGAGAAAGAAAGGCAGGTGGAGGGGGGGGGGGGGGGTTGCCTGGAGAGGTGAGAGGTCAAAAGAGGCCACTTAACCAATAAGCAAAGCACCTGCAGGGCTGGAGCTCAGAGCTGAGGCCTCTGGGAAGGGAAAGGGCACGGTGGCGCAGGAGACCCTAACAGGTGCCACAGTCACCCAGCTGGGTGGTCAGTGAGCGCATGGCAGGTGACTCATCCATGGAACACCTGCTGTTGAACAATTGCCACAGCCAGGCACTGTTCCAGGAGTGGCCGATACAGCAGTGACAAGGCAGTGGCCATCCCTGCCCTTGTCATTTTTGCATTTCAGCAGTGGGTGACAGAAAATACATGAGGTATAGGGTACGTTAGAAGCTGATTTTGCTATGGAGAAAATACAGCGGCGATGAGGGTGCTGGCGGTGGTGAAAACAGACTGCAGTTTCACACAGGGTGGTCCCAAACAGCCCCACTGAGAAGGTGACATTTGAGAAAGGACTTTAGCCTCCATGCAGATGTCGGGACCAAAAGCTCTCTGGAGAGAGGGAGAAGCAAGGGCCAAGGCCTGAGACAGCCTCCTGCTGGGTGGTCAGGAGCACAGGGCAGGCGGCCATGGCCTAAGGGCTCAGAGACTGTGCAGCACCAGCCTGCGGGCCACGTGGGAGGATGGCATGAGTCCCACATGCACATCGTAATGGGACCCTTTGATCTGCTATCTCGAGAGATATCCATCCGGGGCCTGAAAACAGAAGATGCTGGCCACGGTGAGGATTTGACCGGTCCAAGTAGACAGCTGAGGCTTCAGAAGATGACCCATGGCCATGTGCGTGTGGAGGCCCTGTGTGAGGAATCTGGAAAAAGCAGGAGTACCTCACCACCATTAGCAGCACGCCATGGGGTCTTTCTTTGCCAGGCTCTTTCTTCCTCCTGCACCTCCACCCCTCCTCCTTACACCACTGAATTCTGCCTGTGTATCTTGTGTTTCCAGTTCTGTGACTTTCCAACTCACCTTCACACTAAGTTTGAGTCTGACCGTTTCCCACACCGGTGTTCCTGTGGTGACCACCATTACAGATGCCCCTTCATGGTCTCTCAAGTATCTTGACTCCTCCCAAGTCTTCCCTTCTAACTAATGCTGGGTCTGTCCTTGTTTATTGTATTTTATTCCACCTACCAGGTGTTCCGGGTAATTATCTAGTCTTCTGTGAAAGATGTTTATATTGGAACACTCATTGACATCAATCCTTGTAGTTACATCTTAGGAGAATGTTAGAATACAAATCTTGAAGACAGGCTAATTTTAAATTCTGTTTCTTATTTTACCTGGCATTAAAATAAGTCAAATCAGGGGTGCCTGGGTGGCGCAGTTGGTTAAGCGTCCGACTTCAGCCAGGTCACGATCTCGCGGTCGGTGAATTCGAGCCCCGCGTCAGACTCTGGGCTGGTGGCTCGGAGCCTGGAGCCTGTTTCCGATTCTGTGTCTCCCTCTCTCTCTGCCCCTCCGCCGTTCATGCTCTGCCTCTCTCTGTCCCAAAAATAAATAAAAAACGTTGAAAAAAAAATTTTTTTTTAAAAAATAAAATAAGTCAAATCAGTTTTTCTCAAATTGGAGGGATGTAAAGGATGACTTTAGAAAAAAAAAAAAGGTCCTCTAAAACTTCTAAGGTTAAATGTGATTATTTCATAAAATAATCTCTTAAATATGCCTAGAAATACATTTAGACATAAATGTTTTATGCTTATACAAGTGGAAAGCCCAAATGAACACTTATAAATTAAATATAAATAAAATCAGAAAACCGAAAAAGTATTCCAGTTAACTCTATGAATGTGGTATGGCGGGTGCTGGCATTTGCTGAAACGAAGTTATTCTTGGGATGCAGACGAGGTCCTGGATGGTTGGCCAGCCTCGCCTGATCAGAGCATGCCCACAACCCCTACAATCCTGTGCCCATGCTTCCTCCTTCATATGAGCCTCCTACCCTTGGTGCCAGACCACGGGACCCCCACGTGTGGGGAATGCATCCCTGGAACTCTGTTCTCTCCTTAGTTTCACAGAAGCGCTTGTTCCCAAGATGGTGCAAAAGAACCGACATGAGACTAAACTTCCGCTGTGGTTTTTGTGGGGGAGTTTTTTGTTGTTGTTTTGTTTTCAGAAAGTTTATTCTATTCTATTCTATTCTATTCTATTCTATTCTATTCTATTCTATTCTATTCTATTCTATTCTATTCTATTTTTAGAGGGAGAGTACTCAAGTGGGAGGGAATGGGAAGAGAGAGAGAATCCCAAGCAGGCTCCACACTCAGCACAAAGCACAGGGAGGGGCTTGATCCCACGACCCTGGGATCATGACCTGAGCTGAATTCAAGAGTCAGACACTTAACCGACCGAGCCACCCAGGAGCCCCCCACCACGGTTTTTGGGTTGAGCTGTGGCCAAATGATCCAGCGTAACTTTTACTAATTGTCCAGATAATTATCAGAGTAGCAACTCTGACATGAACAACATCTCAGAAAGAACCAGTTGGACAAACACCGTTCAAGTACAGTTTCTAATGTCAAGGATCTACTTTCTCTTCTTTATAGTACTGGGCATGCCTGAGGCAATTAACGTACTACATTTTCCACCAAAACATTCACCTCAGGATTTTCTTTTCTTTCCTTGGCCTATTGTCAGGTGGTGACTTCGTCTGTTGTACATTTTGTTTATATTTTTAAAATTCTTTTGTACTACTTGAGTAAACATTTATAAACCACTTTCTCAAAGTATTAAATGTTATAATCTCAAAGACTGGATCAAATACAATATCAAAAACTAAAACCGTGTTTCAGTGTTTTACATGACCACCGAATTTCAGAGTTGGAGCTGACACAGTCAAATTCGTCTCTAAAATATCCTGCAGAAACCGTCATTTAGTCTGTGTCTGAAAAGCTGCAGTTACTAGCTTATAAAGCAATATATTCCAGTCTTCAGTTAGAAATTTCTTTACATTGAATCAAAATCTATTGCTGTAATTTTGCCTGTTTGTGTTCGTCCTGCCTTCTAGCATAAAGCACAAATCTAATCTCTCTTGCAAAGGATAACTCCTTCACCCCTCCCCCATGAATACGACAGCTCCCTCCTTCCTCAGCCTGCCTCCCACCCAGACAAACATCCTCAGTACTTTCCATCGTTTGTACAGCACAATGCAGAATAACATGGACAAACAGCACAGTGATTGCTTTGGTACATTTTGCAGACAACACGATTCCTTAGCAGAAACTTCAACAGATTATGTGATCCAGGGATTGTATCTAAGAAATAGGCTTTTGTGTCAATTTTTGTTAGTAGAGCTAATATTATAAAGGACTACAAAGTAATATGTAGAATTATCCTATTAAAAGGACAGGGATGGAACATATTTTAAATGATAACTAAGCATGTGCTGGCATGCATATATATAATTTATTTATCTATTTCTCTTTACAACTGAAGAAAGAAAATGTGAAAGCCCGAATAGGCTCTTATTGACTGGGTAGGATGGAAGGTGATGGCAACCAGGCTTTCCTGGCTCGCTTCCCAGGTCCTTTCCATAAAAGCCCCTTTCCAAACTGAAAAACAGGATCCTTATGGTCTTTTTTCTTTTTTTTTTTTCTTTTTTTCTTATTTTATCCATTTGTTTTGAGAGAGAGAGAGAGAGCACATGGGAGGGGCAGGGAGAGAATCCCAAGCAGGCTTCACACTGTCCGTGCAGAACCCAATGTAGGGGGTTGATGTGGAGCTCAAACTCACAAACCACAAGACCTCGACCCAGGCTGAAATCAAGAGTTGGGTGCTTAACCAACTGAGCCCCTCAGGTGCCCCCAGAATCCTAATGGTCTTGACAGAGCCTCCTGGAACAACCAGACAAGGTTCTACACTACAGCCAAATCCCATGAAGATATGGTATCTGGCGACCCTTGTCTTCATTCTTAACTGTCCGTGTGCAGAGCCCAGTCTTCAGAGTTGAGGAAGTGAGACATGATATCCAAGAGAAATGCACCTATACTCACCAACTCTCCCACTCTGGCCCCACAGAATCCTGGCTGTATAACAGGGACAAGTAATGTCCTGGGTAGAAGTGTTATGGTGGCCTAAAGCTCCACAAAGCCCAGGTCACAATCAGGAGGGAGAAAAGACCTGGCTGGGCTCACCTGTGGCCCCTTCCCAGTGTCACAGTGGGGGACCAGGCAGCAGCCATAGCTCCCTTGGAGGTATGGCTTTTTTGTTGTTGGTGAGAACATGTTTTGCAGGTAGGTGTTTGCGTCTTCCCCAACAACACTGCGGCTGATAGTCATAACAGCACGTGAGAGCACATTACCGCCCAGAATGGGAAAAACATGTTTACGATTAATTCTTTTCTCCAACAGCTGGCTGCCCCAACTCCTTGATTAAAGAGCTCCATCACTTCAGGATCCTTGGAGAAGAGCAGGTGAGTCAGCCTCTCAAAGGCGGTGCCAGGGTGTCGTGAAAGACAGACACTAATGAGACAGTTTGGGTGCTCTCCAGGGAGGTAGAGTGTGTCTCCTGACCCTTGGCGCCCTAAAATGGGGAAGAAAGCCATGCCGCAGATATGTGTGAGGACACTCTTTTCCTCTTCTATCCATCAGATCTGACAGGTTATTAATTTTACATCTGCCAGAGCATTTCGTCTCAGGACGCCAGCAGTAAGCAGGCCCGACGTAGCGGCAGATAGGCAAGCGAGTAAGTGCCCAGATATATTATGCCTAAGAGCCCAGTCGTCACAGACGGTCCTGACATGATGGCAGCGGGCAAGTGTGCAAGCTCTCCTCACCAGACTTTTGCACTCGGTGCACATTATCCGTATTTCACCGCAGCCGCTTTCTCTATGGATGTGAACGTGTGACTTATATACAAAGGGTGGCCCATCAAAAGTAGATGATTTGAGTAGTGTGGTGCTCAGCGAGATGTCAGATTTTAAACAGATGTGCTAAGTAAATAATTCAAGGCGCTGAATCACACACGTGCGCGCGCACATGTACTTTTGACCACGTCAAAACAAATTTCTTGGTCTTTACATAGAATTAGTTTCCATGGTATTATGTTAAATCTTGATGTCAAGTTATTTTTGAAACACACCAAGTAGTTGACAACATGGTGGTTTACTCCCAAGGGTCGTCTTTGCCAAGTCTGTACGGGAAAACCTGCAAAGGGAGATGGGGCCGCTCAGTGTCGTTGATAAGTTTTTGGTTTGTGTTTTTCTTTGGTATGTGTATGTTGCAAGTTTGGACCCCACTGTGTCCAATACTAAATTAAAAGCAGAAAGGGATTAATTGGGGGAGGATAAAAAAGTGGAATTCTTTCCAACTCCCTGAATTAATAGGTTTCAGCGTGCTTCCTTCATTATTTAAAGACTTCAAATTCCAGAATTCAGCGGGCATAAGTGTTCATTCAAATATAAGGAAAATCAGCTATCCTCCATTGCAGGTAAGAGTTGTTAACTGGCTCCCTCAGACATATCTATTTACGAAACACATGAATCTCACAGCCGTCTTCCTGTGAGATTTCTTGAAGTAAGAATTACTGATTGTTACCCTGACATTTCTGCCCAGATAATGGAGCTTTCTCTTCTAACTTGTACCAATATTTGCAAATTATTTCCATATTTGTGTTAGAGTCATTGGTGATTAGCAGGGAAAGAAGCCAACTGCAATCATCTCCTTAGATCTGCATAAAAGTCAGGCCACTTTGCATTCTCCTAGAAATTTAATTGAGCCATAATCAAAATCAATATTATTCTGATTAGTTGTGCAACATGGAGACATAGTGCGTCACAGCAATATTGATCTTTATTTCCTGAAAAAAAAAAAAAACACTTTTCCTTCCTCCTTTGCTTTCATTCAGCAAGTGCTTACTGAGCACCTACTCAGGTGCTGTATACCATTTTTAGTTATAGGGATAAAGAAATGAAAAAGAAATACCTATCAGGGGAAAACTGCTAAGTTATATACACACAAACATGTTCAGTATATATTGTGCTAGGTGCTTTTTATAGCCATGGAGAAAAATAAAGCCAAAAAGAGGGTTGTGGTAACTGGGGGAAGAGGTGAAATTTTATATAAGGTGGTCAGGAAGAACCTCACTGAGCAGGTGATTTGTGAGTGGAGACCTGAATGTATATGTAAACGCATAATGTAAAAAGCATCACAAAATGCAAGGTGTGGTTGGAGTGAGGCAGGAAGAAATCCAGGAGAGTGTGAACCGGAAGCCAAAGGCAGGAGGCATTTCTAGGAGGAGGGCTGATGTGCTGACCAAGCAGGATGAGGGGTGAGAAATGAACACAGAATTCATTGGTGACCTTGACCAGGGGAGGGTGGGGGTGAAAGCCTGCTTGAATTGTGTTCGTGTGAGATGGGAAGAAGAATGGGAGAGAGCAAATATAGGTACCTTCTTTTTTTTTTTTTTTTTTAATGTTTATTCTTGAGACAGAGACAGAGCATGAACAGGGGAGGGGCAGAGAGAGAGGGAGACACAGAATCTGAAACAGGCTCCAGGCTCTGAGCTGTCAGCACAGAGCCTGACGTGGGGCCCGAACCCACAAACTGTGAGATCATGACCTGAGCCGAAGTCGGATGCTTAACCGACTGAGCCACCCAGGCGCCCCTAGGTAACTTCTTTCTTGAGGAATTTAGGTATAAAGGAAAGCAAAGAAATGAGGTAGCTGGGGGTGGAGGAATGTGGAAGCAAGATAATGTTTATTCGCTGGTGGGAATGACTCTGTAGAGGAGTGGGAAGTTGGAGATGCAGGGGAGAGGAGAGACTGTCGGGAACAATGTCCTGGCTCACAACAACTGAGTGTAGGCTCAGCCTGAGACAAGATTACAGGCAGCTCAGCTGGCAGTGGGGATGATGGCAGAATATGGAAGGTGGTTGTCATTTATGCTTCTCTCATCTCAGGGAAATAAGAAGCGAAGTTGTCAGCTGAGAGTGGAGATGGCGGGAGAGATTTCCAGGGAGAGGAAAGGGTAATGACAATGTCATTTAGGAGGGTAGGAAGTGAACAAACTTGGGAAAGAAATGAGTTTGGAGTGAGATCCGTCAGCCTGGTGTCCCTGTGTCCCATTCAACTGCGTAGACACAACCCCAGTAAGTGCAGAGTTGGGTTTAACTCAGAGTTTGGTTTTCGGCTAGGAGAGCAGAGCAGTGGGATATGAAAAGACAGGGACAGGAAAGGTGGTTGGATCCATCGGTTCCAGGTCCCAGTGGGTCCAAATAATTTTTGGAGGTTGAGTTGCAAGTTTGAGTTTTAGAGTTTGAAGGGTTTAGCTGGAAAAGTAGGTGTTGGCGGAGGCGTGCAGCCAACGTCGAGATTGTGGAGGCAGGCAGGGAACAGCTGTGGTGGGGCCGGGGAGGGCTAGAAGGGCTGGTGGCTGAGTTAGGATAGAGAACAAGTTGACCAGAGAAGTTGCGGTCACAGACTCAGGAAGCCAGGGCACTGGAAGGTGTGGCCCGTGTGGACACTGAGATCCTCCAGAATTATCACCAGAGCAGACTTGGAAAGAACTCTGATGAGTCATGAACTGGATCTTCAAGAAATGGGGGTAGAGGGAGCAGGGAGATAGAGAGGGTGAGTGAGGTGGGGCTCAGGAGCTGGCTGTAGATGGAGAAAGAACACCCAATGGAGACTCATGGCTTGAAAGTCAAAGCTGGAGGGTTTCGGGAGAGAATAAGACCGTTCTACTTAGAATGTAACAGCGTAATGCTTGGTGGTACAAAGTGTGCAGAGAACATTTGAGGGAGCTGTCAGGGAAGTGGTGTCCTAGGGCATGAGCCAGTTTCAGTGAAGAAAGAATGTGAGAGAAACACCGGGAGTAGACTGAAGTCACAGGGCAGTTGCTCTGCCCGGCCCTGGCTTCCCCCGCACAGGGGCGGGAGTTGGGGCCACTGAAAGATGGGGTAGAGAAAAGGGGTGTACAGAGCCACATGTGGGCGGGGGGTCAGACTAGAAAGCTGACAAGGGAGCCAGGGACTGCTTTGGGGACTGATATAAACCCGTGCATCAGTCAGGACATTTCTATCCCCGATGACACACGACAAAAGCTAGTGGCCTCAGGGCAGGTATGGCTGAGTCTCCAGAGAAAAAGCAGAGCAGCTCCCCTGCTCCAGCCCCTGGGGTGGGCGTTCTAGCCCAGAGCTGGCAAAACATTCCGGCTCTCTCTGGGTGCTTGAGGCAGCTTTCATTACTTGATGACATGAAATGTTATATTAGTGTGTGGTACAAGTGCCCTTGGACACGTCATTTCAGTCCCTCTCTACCGTGGCTTTTCCATTTGTAGAGAAGGAGGAGCAACGGTGAACCATCTCTTAGAATTTTTGTAAATAAATAGCATGGCGAAGTTGCAAATACTAAGTGCTACACTAAAATGGTTCTGATTTTTTTTTTAATTTTTTTTTAACGTTTATTTATTTTTGAGACAGAGAGAGACAGAGCATGAACGGGGGAGGGTCAGAGAGAGAGGGAGACACAGAATCGGAAACAGGCTCCAGGCTCTGAGCTGTCAGCACAGAGCCCGACGCGGGGCTCGAACTCACGGACCGTGAGATCATGACCTGAGCCGAAGTCGGCCGCCCAACCGACTGAGCCACCCAGGCGCCCCAAAATGTTTCTGATTTAAATAGCATTTTCATTCTTTATACTCAATCAGTAGATTAAACTAGTAGTAATCAGGTAGGCAATAAAATAAGTGTAATGTTCACCTAAAAGTGAATTGATAAGATGAACACAGATACTGGTTAGATAACGAATCCATTGCTGGATGGTGGAGATGCTTACTGGTTATCTAATTTCTCTGTATGTGATTCCCTTACACTTGCTTTGGTCTTTAACAGGCACCTGATTTTTGAGAGCCAAAATAAAAATAAATCATTAAACAGTATGAGTAATTATCTTCCAAAAATGAAAATACACTTAAAAATCCTTGGAATTTAACGTATTTACTCTAGCTTCTTGGCCCTATCTCTGATATGTGTTGATAGTTCACATTCATAAAACTCCTCTCCTTCCCCTCCCCCCCCCCTTCCACCCCGGTCCAAACTATTTAGCAAAGATATTATCACAATGTAGGTAAAAAGCTACTCTAAAGTTCAAGGTAAGCCTTAAAAAAAAAAAACATAAACAAAAAAACCAAACCAGGAATGACATCTGTCAGTCCATAGGGTTTTGAGAGCCTTCAGGAGAACTGCATTTCAGAAGTACCTCCATTTACACCAGTTTTTCCCACCTTAGTTTCAATCACCAGAATTTTAAGGAAACTTTCATTCATTCAACAGACATTTTGTGAATACTTCTTGTACTGTTATTGTGCTAGTGTTAGATGAAATGGCAAACAAGGAAATCACAGGAACAAATCGTGATACGTGCCAAGGTGAAAACAGTGATTGAGATTTAACCTATTGTAGATAAGGAGCCAC